GAGTTCATTGTAGTAAAAGATAAAATTTTAAAAAGTAAAAAAAAAAAAATGATGTAGAGTTCTAATAGTGTAATCTAAAAAGGGGAAGTTCCATGTTTCTTGCCACATCTAATGAAGGGTGGAGCTGAGTAGTTACAGAAGCCTAAAATGGACTCTGGAGAAAAGATTTAGTAGATGCACAGAGATCAGAGGAATAAAAAAAGAAACCACACATGCAAGGCTTTGGACTTGAACCATGGTAATGAGGGATATAGGAGATAATGGGAAAAGACATGGGTGAGACGTGGAGAAGTTCCTTTTACTGTATAGTAAAGTACAGAAAACCACTTTGATTTTTTAGTAGCCTATAAAAATGTTTATTGACTGTCCAACTTTCTATTGAATAGAAAAACTTTGTAATTGCTTATTGAAAAATTCAGAGTTGTCAAACTAAATTTCTTAATAAAAAATGAATTTGTAAAGAACATGTAAAGAAAGCAATGCAGAAAAGTGTTTTGGATAATGACTGGGACTTTTTAAAGAAAAATACAAAATCAAACTTAAAATTTTGCTTTGTTTTTACAAATTCCCATCCATCCATAAATCAAGCTGATAATATCAAAGTTGCCCTTAAGGTCACCATGGCCATTAGGGAACTCTCTTTAGTTTCTAAAACATGACTTTTGCACACAAAATTTAAAACTGTGGACTTAATAGTGAGCTTTTTAATGGTCAATAAACAGCAGAATGTAAAGTAAGAGATCTCAGTCTATTTCTTATCTCCCTCATAAGTCATTACTTATTACTCTTGTATTCTACATAGATGACTAATAAAGTGGAATGAACTATTCTTTTGCTCTTTCCTTTTGGGGAACTAGACTTGGTCTTAATATGGGTGAAAAGAAACAATGACTTTAAGGTCCACTACCAACCATCTGAGAAATTATCTCAGACATTTTTTCAAAATAACCATTTGTCTTCACTAACGGTCTTAGTCTTGGTTTCTAAAAAATATTAACAGTAATTGAATGAAACACTTTCTACCATATAAGAAATTTAGTTTCCACCTTGTGTAGGAAATTTTTTTCCTAATAAAGAAGTATACTAAAGGAAACAATTGTAGTTGAATGGGCATATCAAGCTGTCTCCATAAAGGCTACAACTCAAGTTCTTCAAGGAATGAGGCTTTCTCTTACAAAAGGAATCTTTACAATGGGTATGGATTTTGAGAATTAATACCTACATCAGTCTTTACAACTTATTTATTCAAAATATCACTATCTTTAAAATGTCAGAAAAATCAAATGTTAAATTTCAGACTTACCTCTATTAAATAATTTTGGCTTCCATACATAACATATTGGGGAGCAAGGCTATATATCATATATGAAGTATGAAGGACAATAAGCAGAAGTATCATGCAGAGAAATAATAGTGCCTGGGGCCTGGTTCTACCTCTTCTGATTTTATATAACTGGAAAAAAGAAAAGTGATATTATTTCAGAAATATGTTTTATTTTTAACAGTCTAAGTCCTGCTTCTGTGGTAGGGGAATCACTAGTCCATCAACCATTTATTACAAAATAAATACTAAAATTTGTAAGCATCAAATAATTTTAAGAGTGACAAACAGAATAATTTTCTTGTAAAGCTTTTATATGTAGAATTATGTTTATTTGAATATCAAGGTAAAGCATCTATATCCAAAGAATTTAATTAATGATCCATTAAAAACACGAAACTTAGGTAAAATATTAGCATTCACATAGTCTGGTTTTCAGGTACATTTTCTAAGCTTAACAAGTAATAGCATCTCTTGGAAGTTCACAAAGCTAAGAACTATGAACTACTTATAATCAGTAATATTTGTTCACAAAGCTAAGAACTATGAACTACTTATAATCAGTAATATTTGTAGGTTTCTGTAAAAATTACTGCACAAGAACAGACATGACACATGCTTATAAAACGCCTATTAAAAACTCATGACATCAAAAAAAATAAAAACTCATGACATCCTCATAGACATGGCTATAAAATTTAGTTTATAATAATGTATGATAATATGACTATAGATAATTTCCTATCTTCCATATTAGGAAGTAACTCAAAATATATAGATACAACTACAAGGAACCAGGTGACTTTCTATTTTATATCAATGGCACGGCAGACTTTTATTTTAGCAACTAACATATCACCTCCATATTTTATTACTAGATTATTTATTTACAGTATAGAGTAACACAGCCAATTCCATATGGGATTTCTCAGCTTCCTAATAGTAGTTAACTGTGATATAGTTTTAAACACTGACTAGAAATAAGAAGTCTGCTGGAGATTTCTGGGAAAGTCTTGTTTTATTGTTATAGGTGTCACTGATTCCTCCTATCTACCTTTATCTTTACGGAACATATACAGGATAAAAGGAACTGTAACAGTCATATTACAACCATGAAGGAAAAGCTAAGAGGATTATAGAGATAGTGGTTTGACATTTTGAGTTACTGAAGCAAGGCTACATTTTAAAATCGTCCATAGCAAGAAATCTTTCATATCAAGCCAGAATTTAATCGGATCTCCTTTTACTCACAGCTAAAAGTAGTCTCTCTACCTGATACAGCTCATTTAAAAATTCTAAATTTATATCAAAACGAGTATAAGAAAAACAGTATTCTGTAAGTTAATTACAGCACGATTTTTAAAAAAAGAAGGAAAAAAAACCCTCTTCAATCAGTTAGTAATATTTAACTCCTAATAGTAACAGCCATATTTTCAGCTACAGTTATCCATTTGTGCTTCAATGTGCTTTCATACAGCCAAACTCTTAAGAGAAATAATATAACTTTTATACCAGGATTATTCAACCTTGGCACCATTGACATTTGAACTAGATTTAAGTCTTTGTTGTGTGTAGGTATCCTGTGAAATAAGAAATTTATCTACACCCAGAGAATCTATGATGACAGTAGTATGTGCTTGTTATATCAACTGGAAATGTCTCCATATGCTAACAAATGTAGCTCCAGGCAATGTTGCCCTTAAGAATGGTTAGCTATTTGTTGATTGGACTGTTTGTTTTGTTGAGTTGTAGCGCAACCAAATAAGGGACTAGGAAAAAAATAATTATAAGAAATTAAAAAACAAAATTACAGGCAGCTATTAATCAAAGATGCTCTGCAGGGGAAGGGGAGGTACAGGGATCAAAACTGGGAAGGAAATGTGTTCTAATACAAGGGACTGTGGTGATGGTGCATTGATGAATTGGTGGTGGAACTTAGCAGGAACTACTCCTCAAATAAGAAAATACACATTGTACAAAAAGGAAGAATTATGTAAAATATATATGACTAAAAAAAAAATTAAAAAGAACCATAACCTAGTCAATAAGATCTTTTATATCAACATAAAATGTAAAAGTTAACATTTCCACTATTTTAATATTTAAAACTTCTATATTGTAAATCCAAGATAATTCATAATAGAGAATAACACAAGCTGATAAAAATATTTTATATATACTCACTCTAATCCAAAAGAACCATATGCCAATATTTCGAATTCCAGCCATTGAAGTAAAAATAAAGTACATAATAATAATTGTTATAAGAATATAATCAAGAGGAAAAACCTAAAAAGAAAAAATTTAATACACAATCAGTAGGAAATCTAGAAATCATAACATTAAGAGGAATTTTATTTCTCACATTTGGCAAATGTTAAAATATTAACCCCAGTGGAGATTAGTTTATATGATACCAAAAAATAAAATAAAATAAAATCCTCCAGAAAAGGATTACCAAACTTACCAAATTGCTTAGTATTATCATAAGAAAAATTCTGTAACTAAAAGTTACATTTACATGTAGATTTAAAAACTTCATTAAAAACAACAAACAGAACTTCTCAGAAAATTTCACTTGAAGTTTAAGTTTAAATTAAGTTTAAACTTTAGTTTAAATTAAGTTTATAAATTAAGTTTATAATGTATGCATTCAGTTATATGTCAATAATAATCCTTAAAGTAACAGCTCAATATAGATGTTATATATATGACAAATCAATTGAGCATATATTGCCAAGTATTAATAATTTAGAAACATCATAATTTAAAAGTCTGAAAATGTTTGTTAAAGTCTAAAATTGTTGGGGTCTAAAATGACTGATGTTTGCTTACTGTTTGTAGTAGAGGTAAAAGCATGTTCAGTGGATTACTCATATTAGCTCCAAAAATTATGAAACCAGAATATATTCCAGCTGAATGAAGAGCTTTATCCAAACTAAAAGGAAAAATTATAAAGAGTGAATTTATATATTATACTAACACATTTTCACAATTAAAAGAATATTACCATAATAAAAGCATGCAAATTCAATTCAGTCAAAGAAAACCATGGATAACACATTAAATTGCATTAAAATATCTTACAGATATTATTCAATTAAGATACAGTAAATATATACTGTCTATTTCTGGACCTTTAGAGTAGTTCTTTAAGTTAAATACTTCACTTGAAGCAAAACATCAGCTCAAGATGAATCAGTTACACTAACAGTACTCAGCATGGAAAATGTATAATATCACAGGATTTGTATAAAGTGATCCAGAAAATGTGTCCACTATAGTATACTTACTTTGACAGGAAGAGAGAAATTACAAACAACAATGCAACTAAGATGAAAAATATCCCCCAAATGATCTAAAAGCAAAAAATAAATAAATTAATTAATTAATTACACTATAGCTCTAAAAGTTGATGCTAAAAGCATAAAATCATCATGCTTGTTATAAGTTGTAGCATACAACAATAAGCTAACTGCAACAATATGATATGCATTTTAATTTAGTATATAATCCTAGACATCTTTCAATGAAATAGTCTAATAATTTAGACAAGAACATACATGGGAAAGAGACAAAGCATTTTAAAATCTCCATCAGTAAGTAAACAAATGAAATTCTTTTTAAGTTAATAAGGTCAAATAAAAGATTTATATTTCCCCAAATAAAACCGCAGAGTTCTCTGAAAAGTACAATAATATTAATACACACAGAAAAATCAAAATGAAAAACTTACCACATTATGTCAATCTATTGTTAAAGCAGGGAACTTGGAACATTTTCCCATAGAAGTATTAATGCTTGTTGGGAACAGACTACTATAACCTGATGAATTTCAGCATTAAATATATAAACATAAAAATTATATCACAGTAAAGAAAAATCTACAAAACAGAATATTCTTAAAATAGAGTAATAAAAGCACTTAAGAAACTGTCACGTAAAATAGTAACTCAGGCAAAACAAGTTAAGCATTTTTACTGGTGTAAAATACTTCCTTATACTATATAAACTCTGTGTCACAGATGGTAAAAATTGAGCAAAAAAAATATTACTGGAACTGGGTTGTTAAGACATAAAATTTTAGAGTAAGAATAGAGTGAAATTTATGTTAGCAATAACCTAGGCTCCTTTTTCCTTGCCTAAGTTCCAGGGACAATCAGGGTGAAGAGTCTACAGTCAAAACCAAAAAGAGGAGTCCTATTAGGCACAATTAAGTGTTTTCAGCCTCTACTTTGACTAGAATTAACAGAAACAGATAACATTAAATATGTTAAGGAAATATCAAAAAAATGCCTGAGTAAATTTAAGAATTATGAGGATAAAAGAAGTAAAATAAGAACACGTTATCCTACCCAGAAAAGGAAATGAATTTTAAAATACAATTTAGAATTAATTTTATTCATTTTAACATTTATATATGTGTGTGTATGTATATAACATCATTTTTTATCTAATATTTTTGTGTCCTATGGGTAGACAGAAGTGGAATTGCTAGGTCATATGTGAGAATGAATTTCAAAATAATTATGTTCTAGGGAATTCTTCAGATCTGAGAAAAATTCTTTGCAACTCACCTGGAAGAGAAAGGTTGGCAAATTAACAAAAGGCAGTAGTCATTTACTTGTAATAGAAACCATGGTATGTATCTATTTTGCATACTGAACGTTCATATGAGAATTCAATTATTAAAAAAGGCTTTATGCTAGGTTTTTTGGAAATGACTTCTTTAAGGTAGTAAATATTTGTTAGTAAAGGAAATAAGGAGTTTATACACTACTTTTCTACTAGATTTAAGTACCCTGTCAAGTGAAAGGCTATATTCTTATACCAAAGATTCACAAACAAAACACTATTTTGTAATAGCTTTATAATTAAAAAAAATGGCTTATCACAAAGGTAGTAAAACTGTCAGGTATCAATCAGTAAGTAGTAGAGGAACATGACATAGAAGATGCAGGTTCCCTTTCCTTGATGTCCACTTTGGGACAAAAAAGAAATATTCCTTTGCTATCTTCCTAATCTGTTGATATTAATGACCCAAAGTTGGACTGTTTAATTATAGCAACTTAACGAAATATAGAATAGATATAAGAAGGATATTCACAAGTATTATTTTTTTATTTGTTTAAATTCATTAGCAACAAGAACTAATACACTGACTTTAGGAAATCAAGGCTTTAAATATTAGTTGCTTCTACGTGGATACCAGTTCCACATTAAGTAAATTTCCTTCCTCTTCCATTTCAGCACGTTTGATCCTTTTTACTACATCTTTTTTTCTTTCTCCTGGTTGCATTCCTATCTTTCTTTAATGCTTTTTATTAATTTCTTTTGGGGGGGGCAGTGTTTGAATTAAGGAATTTTTAAGTTATCCCCTTATTTCAGTTTTTATTTTTCTAGTTTTATTGAGGTAGAGGTAAAATTGACAAAAAGTAAGTATAAAATGAAAATTGCATGTTTAAGGTGTACAACTTGATACTCTGATACACATACATACTATGGAATAATTACTACAACCAAGATAATTAGCATATCTAATACCTCACAGTCAGCATTTTCTTTGTGGATATGCATACACTAAGAACACTTAAGATACAGCCTCATAACAAATTTCCAATATACTGTTCTTTGATTAGCATATCAACTATATATACAGTTTATACAAGTTCTAAATATGTGAGAATAGGGAGATATTTTTTAACAAGGATAATATTTTCTATTTGGAATGATGAAAAAGGTCTAGAAATAGTGGTGATGAATAATTAAAGTAGTAAATTTCAAGTTATGTATTTTTACCACAATAAAAAAAGTCTGAAAAAAAAGTGTGATATAATTGTGGACATAAACTCATAAATTTCTATGTAAACACCAATATATCTTGGTGTTTACATAAAAAAGTATGCGTGTGTGTGTGTGTGTGTGTGTGTGGACACAATTACCCAGGTCAACTGATTTGTACAGGCTTAGAGTCTCCTTCTGTCAAGGGAGAGTTTAATCAAGTATTTAATGAACATTACATTGTATGTTTAGAAATGGATCTTTTGTTATATATAAATGCTATTTGAAGAAGTCATTAACTTATTCTAATTAGATGCTGATTTTTATAAGTGTATTCAACACAAAACTAATTTTCTCCCTTGAGTTCAACAGTGCTATTTAAGAAGTCAAAAACTCCTATAATATAAATCTATAACAATAGAAGCTGTCTACATCAAAAGACACATACTTCATTAAATCATTAATTCCCATAAAAATGAAGATATTACTCCACTGAAAGGATCAGAAATTTGAGGTTCAGAAAGGAAAAGCAACAAAACATTACATAGCTGGTAAAGATAAGTACAAGGACTCAAAAACCACATACACGTGTGTAAGAAATATGTAAGAATTAAGTTCATGCTCTGAACTCTCACACTTATGAAATGAGGTATGCCTATCCTAGAGTATGCAGAGCTGTGTGAAATCATAAGATCAATAGGCATCTTCATGGTAACCTACTTTATGAAGAAAATAGAATTTTCTTGTAAAAAAAAAACACTGTAGAATTTTAAACTTTTACATTTGTAAAACTTCATAATAAAAAGAAGCATGGATTATAGCATAAAGAAAAACTCAATACTATCACAAAATTTTGAAACAGAATATAACTTCTAAGAAATTCACTTTCAGCATAGACTGGAAAGTGCAGAGTATAAGTGGAGCTGATTTCTTACAGTAGGACAACTAGGATATTAGTGTTTAAAAAGCACTAATAGGCCCTCCCTGGTGGCGCAATGGGTTAAAGCACTGCACTAAGAAGCTTAAGCCACTTCCACATGAGTGCAATTGATCCCTCCCTGCCTGTGCCAGAGGAGATCCACATGGCTCAGATCCACATGGCGTGGCAGACCTCTCCTGACCAGCCCGCTGCTCCCCTCAGCAGTGTACTTCATCGATCTGCCTGTTCTGATCCCCACTCTGTTCCTGGTGAATCTTCTCACCCTCTGTATCTCTGGTCTGTATCCCAGTTCTGTATAAATAAATCTTTTTAAAAACAAAACAAAACAAAACAAAGCACTAATAGCATCTGACTTCCTAAGTCTAAATTATAACTACATGTGAAACCTTGATGAATAAAAATTTTCACATTTCATTTGAGCACACAAAAAAGTTTACCCTTCTCATCCATACTAAATTGTCAATTATCTAACAATAAGCTTGTATCCACAATTTTTTTCTTCATGAAAGCTTATTATTAATTATTCTTAACTAATTATTCCTATTATTCTTCTAATTTAGGACCAGACAATTGGAGGATAGATAAAAATTCAGAACATTAGTTAGGAATGACACATTTACATACCAAAAAAATGGTAAACTAATCGTAATGGAGGTTTCAGTTACTCAATGAGGGGGTGGGGGCGGGGAAGCAATTATAAAACTTCTGTTTGAAAGGAAGTAGTAAAACTGCCCTTTAGCAGTACCTTTTTATGACCCTGAACATAAAAATTCCTTAGGAATCTACATCAAAAAACTAGTAACATTAATAATTTATCCAGGTGTTTAAGACAAGGTCATGTACAGAAGAAATTTCTACATACTAGCTAGAAATTGAGAATTGAAATTAAACAAAATTACTTGCAATAATATAAAGAAATACAGATAAATTATTCAAGCTATTTTAAAATTGCTATAGTAAACACTATAAAACACTGATAAAAATTTTAGATATTATACTAGTGGATTGAAAGATTAAATATTAAATGTTAATTCTCCCTATATTTTTTTACCTATCAATTCAAAATAATACCGATAGGATTTTCAGTGGGTATTTTATGAAACTGTAAATTGATTTTAGAGTTTGCATGGGCATGCAATGCCAAAACAACTTTGTAAAAGGAAAACAAAACCGAAGAACTTATACTACTTTATTTCATTACTGATTACAAAGTTCCAGTAACTATAACACAAGGACACATAGGTCAATGGAATAGAAGAGAAAATCCATAAGTAGACACACACACAGACACACACAATCAATTGTTTGACAAAGTGCAAGGAAATTTAATGAACAAAGGACAGTACTGACAAAAAAATTCTGACTATCCAGATAGAAAATAAAATAAACTTTGATCCTTAAGTCATATCACCCTACAAACTTAAGATGTACCACAGTCCCTCCTTGATGGTGCAATGGGTTAGGACGACTCAGAACTGCAAGCTAACTGCAGCTGCTTCAGTGTGACTTCAATCTCCTCACCCCAGAGGTGACCCACATGGTGCGGCAGACCTCTCCTGTTTCGCCTGCTGCATCCTTCAGCAGTGTACTTCCTTGACATGCCTACTCTGCTCCCTACTCTGTCTCTGGTGAATCCTCTCACTACCCCTGCTCCTATGGCTTGTACCCCATTTCTGTATGCATAAATTTTTTTTTAAATGTACCACAAACCTAAATTTAAGAGCTAAAGTCATAAAACCTATAGGAGAAAACATTTGCTATCGAAAATTAAGATACAATGAAAGACAGTGTTTAAAAAGTAAAAAAAAAAAAAAAAAAG